CGCCACCAGGGAGCTGAGCAGGGCGGCGTCGGGTCTCAGCAGCGCGGCGGCGGCGGCGGCGGGGTCGGGCCCCAGGGAAGCGCGGCCGCCGCCCCGCCCCCGGAATCCAGCTTCATCCTCTTGGGCGCCGGCGAGTCCTCCCCGGGGGGCTCCTGCTTGATGGTGACGCGGCTCGCCCCCGCGCCTTGGCCCTTCTCGCGGTCCGGCCGGGCCTCGGCCTCGCCGCCGTAGCCGCTGTCGGTGTCCGTGTCGTGCTCGGCCGCGAGCTCGGCGCCGGGCTGAGTCCGCTGGATGACCGGCACGCAGTGGGCGAGGGGCTCCAGCTTCTGCCCCGCGCGCTCCAGGCAGGGGGCGGCCTTGGACCCGGCGGGGGCGGCGGCCGAGGACGCCCCGGTGCCTTGGCTCAGGGGGACCTGTGGAGTCAACAGCTGGGGGGTGGGCAAGAACTGGGTGGCCACGGCGTGCAAGTGGTTGATCAGCTGGACCACCGCGGCTCCCTGGGCGTCCAGCTCTCAAACCGGGAGAGGTATTGCAAGACTTCTTTGGCGCATGTTTGAAATCCCGAGTGGAACGCGTCCAAGTCGGACTGAATGGGCGATTTCAGAGATCGCTCCCCTAGGATGAGGAGGGGGGTGGGGTAGGGGACAGAGGAATGGAGGCAAGAAGAAAAAACACCGACGTTAAAACATCTGCTTATCACGTGGGCCCTGCACTGACTAAAGTGATCTTGGTTTTCCCTCTGTATTCCAGTGATATAATCCACCGGTTGCAGAGGGGGGTGGGGGGGGGAGGCGGTGGCGGGGGTGGGGAGCAGGGGGGCGCTCTACTCCCAGCTGAAAAACCCAAGTGGAGAGGGTGCAACCGCCACTTAAAAAAAAAATTTTTTTTTTTATTCCTCTGAGTTCTGCTGAAAGCCTCTAGGATGCTTCAGGAAATGGGCACTTTCCAATGAAGGGAAAGTCTAAGCAATTTCACAAATGAGAGTGAGCTCGTGGGCCCGCGGAAGGAGGTGGGGGTGGGGAATGAGTCCTAACACTGCTCCTCTGTGGGCTGCCCGGCTTCATCAGGGTGGATTGGCCTCCCTGGACTGACTTACCATTCTGTAAAGCAATTATCTTCTGATGCTGCTGCTCGGTTAAGGCTGTTAAAGCTTTTAAGTGTTTCAAAGTTAATTCCAAGACTACCGCTTTCTCCAGATGCCCCAGCGTCTGCATTGGTGCAAAAGAGAATGGGGCACTTGGTTACTTAAAAACACACATTTGGCTTGATTGGCTCTCCATTCAGCACGGCGACTTAAGCAAACACTATTCCTATACTTCTTGCGCTTTCCACAACATAGGTTATACATGATTTTTCCCCCTTCAGTTATGAGCACCTACTCCTGAGTTTGTGGGAAACTCTACACTATAGCATAACTTGTAAGGCATCTGATATTTACATTTATTCTTATATCTCTGGGAGTAGTAAGTACCAGGCTATTAACAAGCCCTTGGAGCGCAGCAAAGAAGGAAAATGTGCATCTTACTGTCAACTTCAGATGTTCAGGCAGTAAATCTTTCAGCTGAGCAATGCATTCATTAATCCGGTCTCTTCTTTTCTTTTCTATCAATCTATGCGGTAATTTATAGGTATCCTTAATATGTGAGAGTCATGGAAGAGAGAAAACACTAAGATAAACATTCGCTTACTGGATATAACAATATCCCCCACCACCCAAAACACACACTGTGTGATAAACTATGCCCAGGAAACCTCTTTTCCCTGGACTGTTCTGAAATGAAATTTAAATTCAGGTATGATGTTTAATCTCCCCCTTAGAGTATCCAGCAAACCACTTAAAATTCACAGTTGGGGAAGCTCAAGGGCTGGAATATATTTGCTGGCAGAGCTTCGCTGTGAAATCAATGGCCCTAATTAACTATCCAGGCAGGTTACAGGGAACATCGGAAACTTACTCTTACCTTGCTATCGTCTCGCTTCATGCTCCTTTTGGGTTTACACATATACAAAGAGGAATAGTCCAGGCTGCAAAACAGAAATCAGCATCAGGCACCCATTCGGGAGGGGCTCTGCCCTCGCCCGCTCCATACCACTTTGAGAAGAAAAAAAAAAAAAATCAAACTGAAGCCCAGACAGATATTCGCAAGGGTGCGTGCACCTTACCCTATAAAATCTCTATGTTCCAGTAACTGTCTCTCTTGCAAATGAGGAATTCCTTCGTCCATGTCCAACCGCTGTCCGTTTTCCTCTGTTTCGTTTTTTTGGGGGGGTCCTGTTCTATAATCTGTGGGACGGTAGCTTTGAGAGATCTTGGGGGGATCTGTGCGTCTCCAGTCTCTCGCTCTCCCTCTTCAGTGCAGTGTTGAAAGTGTGAAGCAGTTGGTCCCCCTACCACCGCGCTCGCTCTCCTGCACACAGACGCATACACACGAACCCACACTCCCGCCGGCCCCTCAGCGCTGGTAGTTTGCTCTCACTCCGGGCAGTGTTTGGCCACAGGGCACGCGCGTCGCCGGCCAGACCAGCACCCAGCTCACGTGCGGAACGTACCATCCGCGGTCTAGCCCGGAGGGGGCGGGGAGGGGAGGGGCCGGGCCGGGAGGGGCGTCGGGAGAAGTCTGCGAGGGAAAGCGAGCGGCGGGAGGGGGCGGGGACACCTGATCAGGGCCACCGGAAAGGAAAAACAACTTCAGCCAAGCTATTCATCTTTCCCAAAGGCGCTGCAGTCAGCTGGGGGAGGAAGAGGGGTGCCGGGGGTGGGGTGGGGGTGCGGGGCAGCTAGGGCTTCCTCAGCTCGGAAATGTGACTCCCTCAGTCCATCCGTCATTACGGTGCAGGAACGTGAACGTGGCTTTTTGCTTTTCCACCGACTGCGCTGTTGGTTTGGACCAGGGAAAGGAAAGAGAAAGAGAATTCGCGGTGGGTAAACTTCAGTCCCGAAGGAAATTTTGGAGACTTGTTTGCACACCGCCCAGTGGCCTGGGGGACCCCTTGGCCTTGGTTGGAGGTTGCCCCGAAAAGAGACCACTTGAAATCGTCCCCCATAGAGACTTTAAGATAAATCAAAATGTCACTGGGTCAGAATGTCGCAATCCAAGAGTCTTTTGGCGACAGTGTCCCTGGGCCACCCAAACTTCCCGCAGCAGCCGGAATTGCGGTGCCACTAATCACAGCAGCAGATGACGACGTTTGGGGCCTCTGGTGCTCCCGGAGGAGCGCGGCAGGGAGGGAGGGGGAGAGAGGGGGTGGCACGAGAGGGGCTACCGCGGAAAAGCTATGCAGCATTATCACACGCCGCTGAACTCCGCCGCCCCTCCGCGCCCGGGGTGGCGCTGCGAGCTTCCTCTCCCCTCCCCCCCTCGTGCGATAAGCGACGCCGGGAGCGTGCGGAGCCCACGTTTACTACCGCTGGCACCTCCGAAGCCTCCCTCCTTAATCCTGTCTCAAACGGGTACCAGCACAGGGCCAGCAACGTGATCCGACCTGTCGCGGCTGCCACATCACTGCGCGGGGAACCCGGTGCGCGCGCGCGCGCGGGCGGGCGCGCTCGCTCCCCCTGCAGCCGGGGCGACTCCGAGAGGAAGCACGGGCCAGCGGGAGCCGGGCTTACCTTTTCCCCCGGGCCAGCCCGGGAACGTGACTTACTGCCAGTGAGAGTTACCGGGAGGTGCGGGAGATGCGCACTGACGCCGGCCAGCGGCAAAGGGCCTTGGAGGCCAAGGGCAAGCAAATCCTGCGGGAATCCCAGGTCTAAGCCCCAGTGCCGCTACTTGGGTCTGCGGGAGTGGGATGGAGATGCATGTGGATAGATCTAAAACCAGAGGTCTTCCCTTCCTGTGCCCACGTTCTCCCGGGTGTTCCCCCGAAACAGTCATTATTGCCAGTGGCACGTGAACCAAGAGAAGTGCGCCGAATGCACACGCACCCGGGCGCGGCGGGGGCTGGAGCCGTCGCTACGTGTCCCTCGGCTCGCCCCGCCGGGCGCGGGTTCCGGGGACAGATCTGGGTCGCGGGAAGCGGCGGCTGGGCGGTCACGTGTCTGCGGGAGTCGCGTCTCCTCCCGGCCTCCCGGAGCCGCCCGGCCGCGGCCGCGGTGCGCGCTGCCGCAGTCTCCCGAGTCCGGGGCGGAGACGCGCGCCGCGTCTGGCTTCGTGATTCCGGCGGCGGCCCAAGCTCACCCCGGCGTCAGGAGACGCTCGCGGTCCGTCCACTCTAGAGGGCCTTTTAAGGTCGCTCGACTTCCTCCAATAGGGGGACTTATTTTGCACCAACAGACAATTTAATAACACTTAAAAGAAAAAGTGTTTTTTAAAAAACGGATTTTATTTTAAACCTCAATCTAGCCTTTCTCTTGTTTCCAAGGGGTTGGGTGATGAATTCCTTTTGGTGGGAAGGGCTGTTTGGAGCCCTAAAAGTGGCCTATCCCTGCAGTATTGTATCATTTTGTTCTTGTTCTAAATTGACCAAAAAAAGCCGGAATGGTGGGGATGGAAAGAATGCCGTTAAGATGAAAATTAAAAAATTAAAATACCAGTTTCCCTTAGAGGTTTGTAAATGTGGAGAAGGAAGAGGGTGTAAATATTTTCTCAGGAGCTAAATTTTCACTTGATGGCTTGAGTATTTAGTGAAAATGCAATGAAGACTGATCACTGCATCTGGGCCTTGTTGGGTGGAGTAGACAAGACAGAGGGCAGGCATCTCTCTGATCAGGACAGACCTTATGACTAAGTCTGTGGCAGACTCGGAAGCAAGTTAAAATAGGAGAGATAGAGAAAGAAGCCTAGTGGGTTATGGACATGTTCATTTTTTAAGAAGCTTCCCGTGATACACAGCCACAGAGGCCTGTTGCTGCAAAGGAATCTTTTTATGTTATCACTTCTATCTCCTCTCCTCCTATCACTTTTGTCCTGAGTTTCCCTGCTTCTATATCCAACATTTTTGTTTTCTCTTCCAATCCTTCTCCTGATACTCAGCTCAAACTGTAAATGGAATCTTTTCTAATTTAAATGGCATCTTTTTCTAATTTTCTATTTCTCATTCCTTTTTTTCTGTCTTTCTTTTTCATGTCCATCTTTCTACTCTTGTCTCCCTTTTTCTTTTCCCTAATGTTTTTCTCTTCCTACATTTCCTTTTAGGATAAATGTCTGCTGTTCCTCTTTCCCTGTAATTTTGTTCTATCTCTTACTTGCTTTTTGTCTTTTTTTAAAAAATCTTTCACCTTGATGACTCCTGCTTATCCACGACCCTTAAACTTGAGTCCTACTCCTTTTCTTTCTCCAGCTCATGCCTTCTGGAATATCAAGCATAGTCTAATGACTCCAAATGTCCCTTTGCTTCAAGTAGCTAACAACTATATAGCATTTGCAATTGGAGCACTAGACACCATTCTAAAGGCCTTTTATGTAATTAACTCATTAACCTTTTCCACAGCCCTATAAGATAGATACTATTATTGTCTCCATTCTACAGATGAGACAATAGAGAGATAGGGAGGTTACAAAATGTGCCCAAGAACCCAGAGCCATGATTTAAGGCATGACAGTGGGCTCCCGAGTCTGTGCCTTTAACCATTACCCCTTGCTGTGACCAGTGGAGGCCAAGGTCAGCTATCCAAGGGGTGTTTTCTAAATTTATCAGAGTGTGAATGTGCACGTGTGTTGTAATGTATGTGTGTGTGCACGTGTGCAATTTGGAAGAGAGATGGGGAAGGGAGAAACAGCATTGGAGCTGACAGCAGAGAAAGAAAAGGATATGAGAAAAAGAAGGATGACAGTCTTTTGTCAATGCATGAGTCAGTCGGCATCTAGCTCCAAATTTATTGATTTAATTCCTGTTTAATTGTTATAATTTCATATAGAGGGGCAGATGGAAGTACAGTTTAGAAAAGGCTAATAGTGACCAGTTGGTCACCATTTCCACTGAGCAAACCAAGCCAAATTCTAATGTGAAGGCTCAGGTTAGTAATAGGAAAAGTTCACTTGTGGTGAGGTTAGAAAAGGGAAAAGAAAAAATTCCTGGTCTCACAAAGGAACAGAAGACAGATACCCTCTTTGGGTGTGTTTAAAAATAGGTTGAGTCTTATCTTTTTAGGAAGGTTTAATGCCATCCTAAAAAGAAAGCCAAGGAGATACAAGATGAGCTCAAAGCCTCTTTGAGCCTATAATTAAAGAATGTTGTGATGCCTTGCTTTCAATTAAAGATACCCATCTTTCTCCTTTTAATAGGCGAGGGAGAAGCAGCTTCCATTGCCTTTCTTTGGCTAAGTAGGGAAATCATTACCTATAGAGACTCTAATGAAAGGGAACACTTATCCCAGTTCTCACCTCCCTCCCCTCAACCCAACTAAGTATTCTGAGCCCTACACTCATATTCATCTAGTGACTTTGGAAAGTCTTATCATGTTTGCTTGCAAAGTCTTGGATTTCCAATAGAAACAGAACTCTCCTGAGAGGATTAGTTTCCAAGAGAAGAGAGGCTTTCTGCCTCTTTTGGGTTTTTGCAAGCCCTTCCGCTGTCCTAGAGGGATGAGGTGACTAGGGTGTTTGGGACCCTGGGTCTGATTCAAACTGTGCAGCTTTCGTGGCCTCAGAGGCTCCAGATCTTCCCAGGGTTGTGGAGCCTCCTGCCTGTACTGCTGTGAAAACATCCCATCAGATGGGCAGATGCCTTTTGTTATTATTAAATATTTTTATTGATATCAGAGAGGGAGGGGGAGGGAGAGAGATAGAAACATCAATGATGTGAGAGAATCATTGATTGGCTGCATACTGCATACCCCATACTAGGGACCAAGGCCACAACCCGGGGTGAGCCCTGACTGGGAATTGAACCATGACCTCCTGGTTCATAGGTCGACACTCAACCACTGAGCCACGCCAGACGGGCAGCAAATGCCTTTCTTAATCACCTCTTTTTGGCGTGGTGGACAAGAATTTACACACAGTCTACATCATTTTCACCCAAAAGAGGAATGTACCCCATTAAGTGGAGTCTATAAAAATCTAAAAGAACATTTTGGGTTGATGCTAAAATCAAGGTGGGATGCAGAGTGAGGGCTGGACAGAGCGGGATGATAGATCAGGGATGTGTGAAAGCTCCCCTTGGAACCCCTTTTCTGGGTATGCAGACTGCTTCCAGGCAGGGAGGTTAGTGTTGGGCACACCACCGAAAGAAGGCCACCTCATAGAAGGTTCTCAAGAGGAAGGGAGAACCAGCTGCTACTCACCAGAAGTCAAGTCTGACTTTAAAATATTGATAATGCTATTTGCTGAAGATACAAGAGTTAAAACCCCCGAATAGGAGGTTGGGTGTTCCAGTTACAGACAGTTACCAGGAACAGTACAAGTATCCCTGTTTAATTTGTCAAAGAGCTTAAGTCTTTGTAGACTACAAACGAATGTGTTTTTATGGTGGTAAACATATACACGAATCACATTTTACATTTATGTAACACTGCTCAAGACATTGATACACTTAGTGTTTGCACAGCAAGTTAAGTACAGGAAATGAGTTTCACTGCTGAAATCAGTGTG